ATTTACAAAATGGCAGATCTCTACTGTAATGAATCTTGTATTCAGAGTCCAATTTTGTAAATTAAGGATGAAAACTTGTGTATTGCTTTGTCTCCTACTCTTTTACATTAGGGACAGATAATAGTAACAGAACAATGTACGCATTTACTATTTCTGTTCTATTTACTATTGTTTGTTTTGTCCAATCAGCATTTTGTTACACACTTGAAATTCAACTTTGTACTTTGTATTATTCAGAACTGAAGAAAACAGAAGAACTACCAAAACATGTTTTTAACCCTTTAACTCCTAGATCAAATTTTTTATTCTTTTTACTGTCAACCATACAGCTCTTATAATGTCAGTTCAGAGAATTAAGTACTGGATCAATGAACAATCCCCAAATTGATATTTTTCTTTATTCTCATCACTTATCTGGTTGATATTGTACTGACATTGTAAGGAGAAATTCTGTCTTGGTCACTCATGGGAGTTAAAGGGTTAAAAGTGTTGTTCATTTTCTTAAACTTGTTGCATATCTGTTCATATCCAGACCTTTTTTTTTTATAGAACCAGACAGTGGAATCAACAAATGGACCCTCAGATACTCAAGTCAATGGTGGAAACAATACAACAACAAAAGTGAAAGAAGGTGGAAATGTTGCAATGTTTGTCTCTAATGAACATGGTCTGAACTTCCTCAGTGAATCAGAGGTCGAATCCAAACCTCCAGCTTCTGCAGAAATACCTCCAGCTCTTGAAAAACAGAGTGAACAAGCTCCCCCTGGGAGCAATACAGGTAGAGATGAAGGATGGGGTGATCAGGGGGGTGAAGGAACACCAGGTGATCAAGGGGATGACACTGGTGAGTGGAATACATTTTTATCCACCTTACTGCCAAAATGAATGATTTAGGAGATAAATACTAGTCTTGTTTAGTTAACTTAGAAGTTGGTTAAGTGAATCCCTGACAGAAATTAAGATGGGCTTTATTCAGCAGGTTTCGACACAGTGCATCATTCTAATGGATATTCACGTGGAGGACGCGGAGGTAGAGGTGGATACCGAAGAGGAGATGGTTACAATCGTAGAGGGGGTCCACCTGGTGAGAGGGGAAATAGGCGCGGCAGAGGAGGATTTGGAGGACCTCCTCGTGGTGGAAGAGGGGGATATGGACAACAGGTCTGTTCTTATTTTTCTTGCTTCTTGCTCCTAGTGTCATAAAAATAGTTCATACTTCAAATTCAATATTCACCATCAGTTATAAAGCTGAATGTTCCATTTGTGATGGACAGTTAATGATGATTGAATTTTTCAGATATCAGGCAAACTTTTGTCAAACCAGGCAGACTAACTATGGACAACTGCATTTCCTAGATTATTGTGTTTATTTGTATGGTAAATATTATTGTTTTGAATTATTTCAGGACCAGAGACATGGTGGACCTTCTGGAAGGGGATCTCGTGGTGGACCACGAGGAGGCCCCAGAGGTGATCGTGGTGGACGCCGTGGGGGAGGACCCCCACAGTAAATCCTTCTTTGTGCGATGGAATACATTTGAAACTAATCTTCATTGAGTTAGGAAGATTATGATGGAGCTTTTGGCATAATGTTACAAGAACTGACCTAGTTACAAGCTTTTAGACCCTGTGCATGTAACAAGTGTGAAGCTGTCAGGCCTATATGATAGTTATTTAAGAAAATTACAGGAAAAGATGAACAATAAGAGTCTTACACGTACCCTATCACTTGAAGACACAAATCTTTTATTACTAGTGGGTTTTGGCGGACATCTTCCACTGAAAGAAAACTTCCTGAATGACGGGAATCTTCCGAAAGATTTATAAATATTTCTCTTCAACTGCAACAAGTGTTTCTTTATGAAAGCCATTGACTTCTACGGGAACTTGACATAAAATATGGTGAAATATGCAAACAATGAAAACTGCTTTTCTAAGTGTGTACAGTAATGGAGATCTCCTCTTCAAAATATAAAAGCAGAAGAACTGCAAGATGTTGATATTTGATATCACCCTCCAAAGAACACTTATCAGCATGGAATCTTAAGCTGCATCACAGAGTAGTACAAGGATTAAGACATATTTAGAGGCTGTTCAATGTCATCAGCCCAAGTGATTCCACAGTTTGAAAGTGTTTCTCCCCCCCCC